TAATTAATGAAAAAATTACGAAAAAATAGATATTGAAGAGTCATTAAATTATTCCTTACTAACGGACCACCAATTTTATCTATAAAATCTACGTGAAAGTTATGTTTCGAGTAATAAATTTTCTTGGTATACGATATTATTGAAAAAAAAATAGGTAATTATAAGTCAAGTAATTTTATTAAATAAGACAAAAAAATGTTTTCATCAGAATTCCTTTCGAAAATACGATAGACAATCATTGCGCTAATGTTAATACTTAATGTTCAAATTTATAAAAATGCTAAATAAATAATACAATGAAGGAATATTTATTTAATTTCTTTCATATTCCTCATATGCTGTAGTCAAGATAATATTTTATGCTTCTCGTATTAAGAAGTTCATTAATTTTCCAATTTTTAATATTTGAAAGATGTACTAAGAGAGTATGCGACATCGATACAAATGAAAGGTACTCCGAGTAATATATTTTCCTGTTTACTTTAGCGATCAGTCAGATAATATCTGCAGATTTATTAGTTCTTGTGATTGATTAGTTGAAAACTTTGTTCGGTTATTGTTATGTTAATTAATTATCTCGCCTATTTATAAATAAAGCATACATACTACCATTTGCCATTTTAATGTAGCCCCATCTATTTGAATTTTTCTTTTAATAGTACACTTCGTTGTTTTAAATTACGAATGTTTAAATTTTAAATTACAAAAGATGTATAATTCATGTATAATTTTATAATTATATTCCTATAAAAATAAAATATATATGAAAATATTTTAACTAATGATAATAATTTTTTATAAAATTATTAGTTAATTAATTTTTTCTTTTAAAAATGTAAAGTATTTCTATAAGATTAATTTTTATATGAAATTTGAAATTATATATCAAATGTATAATACAAACCAGCATTTTAGCTTCTATTTCAATAAGATCGGTCGACTACTTCCTGATTGTCAATACTTATCAAAATGTCTATTAGAAAAATTGTATTATATAACGTATTTAGAATTGCATAATTATTAATAATGATCATTTCGGTGGTCTTTATAATTAAAACTTATTGCTAAGTTTTCGATAAGAAAATTAATTCAGTAACAATTACGTTTTAAGAAAAGTATTTTTCTTTTATATATTTCATATATATATATATATATATATATATATTTGCAGTTGATTGATTTTAAATTGTTTTAATTAATTTAAATTCAACTATTTTTTTTTTATTCATTATTTTATATTGATTAATTTATCAATATTATATATAAATTAGATTATTTTGGAAACATGAATTTGATATCAATTATAATTTCTCAATACTAAATAGTCTTTTTGACCTCTGTATATATTTATATATATATATATATATATATAGTACTATAATCAATACAGTATGAATGCATTTGTATATGTAATCTTCAGAATCTTTTAAGTATATCATATTCAATTAAAATATACTCTGATTTATTAAGAAAATAGATTTTACGTTATATTATTTAATCAAATAATATTAACGGAATATTCAAGTTACCCTCGCTGATGCAATAATTAAATTTAAACCATAGCTTATAACCATAATAATCAATAATAATATAAACGAGGCTGCGAAATACTTTTAATATTCGAACATAGTTACTTCGGTTACTAATAATTAAGCACAAAATTAAACTATCAGCACTGTAATTATTATTTTCTTCCATTCTATAAATAAGAGTCATTTTGTATAAGTAATAGTATTTTACCCCCTCTCAGTTCTATAAAACAAATAATATTTATAAATGTATGTAGAGATATAATATCTATAATAAGCCGTTATAATCAATAAATTTATGCATTTTCATTTTGCTATAATGTCGATTACCTTAATTAATTCTTATATTTCACATCAAACTTTATTTGAAGCTGATAATCCTGTACGCTTATTCAAGTCGTAAAAATTATACGGAAGTACCAACCTTCGTGACTATCTAGACAAATAGTATCGCTACTACCTTTCCTAATCGTGATATGCACACTTAATTGAAGTGAATTTAAGAATCAAATAATTAGAAATGAAGCTTGAGTAGAGGAGGTGTCGATACACTGAATTATTCGAGACAATTCGTCTTTAAGAGGCTTTCTGTTGCAATAGTTGAGGATCGTTTCGGCGCTCCGCTGAACTAGTGAACATTTAATTTGCGATGAGAAATTACCCTGTTACTGTGTGTGCTCAAGGCACAGACATCTAAGACGCAGTGGACAGAACTTAGCGAATCAAAAGAAATGAATTAATGGACGCAATATATATATATATATATATATATATATATATATACTAAATAGGAGAAGATTGTGAGTCCGAGGGACAGTTACCAGTAACCGCAACTTAATTCATTCTACACTCGCCTCCATACCCGAGGCTGTACTACGGGAGTCAACGCTAAAACTAGAATACGGCGCACACCAGAGTATATCCTTGTTAGACTGTAATTTTATTAGCTTTCCCTCTCAGCGCCATCGCCACGGCAGATCCTCGTCCCCCTTTCGCTTTTACCCTATTGCCGCAATTGCTACTTCCACGCTCTATCTCTTCATTGTCCTTTTGAACATTTCGCTCTTCTTCCTTTATCCTCTGCACACCTAATTTATTTCGCCGATACCACTGTCGTCCCCTTCCTCCTCCTCATCCTCCACCTCCTCCTCCCCCTACTCCTCCTACTCCCCTCTCCACTTATTCATCTTATTCTTCATATCTCGTCTTTGTTCAGCGTATGCACTTTTTACATTTGAACCTTCTTAACTTCATTTTCCAATGATTATTACTTTAACCGTTCAGTTTTATATAAATTCTAAAGTTCTATCATTTTCATTCGTTGATTCTCAATATTTTTATCCATATGATAATCGTTTATTTACTTGCAACTTCCATTGTTTGCAAGGCATTCAATACACAAACGAGTACGTGGTAATCGTGAAACGTAATTAAAAAAATGTCCAACATTACTGGTGCAATTGACTGTATAATTGAATTGATTTTCTTTTTAAATTTATTTATTAAAATATATTTACAAGCGATCAATTTTCTCGACTATTAATTTTCGATTAACTATCGATTTACTTTATTTATTATCGATTTACTATTTTTACTATTCAATTAACTGCCATTAATATTTCTAATATATTTCAGAGAAGGATTTTACACAAGTATTGCCATTATATTATATCTTACATAATATATTAAGATTACGTCATATATTTTTATCATTTCCTTCTTAGCGTTATATTCATTAGGTTAGCAATTAAAAAAGGACAATGAAATTATATAAGAAATGCTATTTATGTAAAATGAAACATTATATGAGCGATTCTTACGCTATGTATTATTTATGTATTGGCGGAAATGTAACAAATATTTAAACAATAATAAATATGACTCGAAGAACTTACTGCGGTTTATAAATAACTTTCTAGATATATATATATATATATATATATATATATATATATAATATGAGAAAAAATATTGGTTGGTATATATAAAAAATAATTGATTATTCATTTACTTTGGCAACTACAAATGGTTATTATTTAAAAGAAATATATGTAAATACATATGTATATAATTATATAATCATTGGAATATATAATTTATTTTAATTATAATAATGTCATTAATAGTTTTTACGCGCATTTTAAAACAAGTGAATATTCGGCTTTGAAAGATATTAAGAAATTTATATATTAAAACACATAAAATATAACATATTCTTGTATTGTTAAAAGTATAATGAATAGCAGCAATCAATTATAAATATAGCAAGTAATAATTAATATTGTTAAATAAATTCTTATATTTTATAAAAGAGTCAAACGTACAATTAAATTTATATATTTATGTATGTATGTTATATATGTTATGTTTTGTATTTACATTTATATATTTATGTATCAATTTAAGCAGCATACGTTCATGATAATGTTATAGTTTATAAATTTCTTACGTCTTAATTAGGAAAATAAAATTTTGATCAAATATTTTTGAACTTTGAATAAAAGTAGCATAGAAAGCAGTAAGAGAAGTTTGCAAAATATATAGTACATAGACATACATAATAGCAAACTTTGGGCGATATAATTAGTATAATTATTGCTTAAATCGAGATAAAATTTAAATTGTCAGAATAGTATATAAATTATTTATAGAGAAATTCAACGTTTGACGGTGGTAGACAATGGTAGGTTACATTAGCATAAATTAAAAATGTACATAAAATTTATTTGGGCAATTAAAAGACAGAATTGGTTTATCGTGACAATATTATAATATGCAAAGGGAATAAGAAAAATATTGTCCCAGTATTAATAATTTTAAGTATTTCTAGTTATAAATGTTAATGACTAAACTTTCGACTGCGTAATAATTATGCGGAGGCATTAAAAAATTCGATCCTTTGAAATTCAGAATAATTGAACGTTCAGTCGTAAAAGAAATATTTACTTATTAAATATTTAACCGATGAAAATTCAAGCACTGGGGTAAGCAGGCGCACATTTACTTTCATTGGTGTAAAAATATTTTTACACTTTTACCAATTTCAAAGAGCGAAATGCATTTCGATTCTTGCACAAAGGCAAAGTGGAAGGCAACCAATAGTAGTGGTTGTTATCGTAGTATCATTAGTAACAGTAATAGTAGTGGTAGTAGTGTTGGTGGTAGTTGCAGTAGTAGTAGTGGTAGTAGTAGTAGTGGTAGTAGTAGTAGTAATTGTCGTAGTGGTATCAACAGTAGTAGTAGTAGTAGTTGTTGTAGTAGTTGTAGTGGTAGCAACAGCAGTAGTGGTAGTAGTTGTTGTAGTAGTTGTAGTGGTAGCAACAGCAGCAGTAGTAGGAACGAAAGAAGCCGGCACACCTTGTAAATTGTGCGAACGTGGATGGGAGAAATGTAGGAGCGACATTGTAAGAAGTGCCGTAAAGGATGAAAAATCGATTGCTTCGCGCCTCCTAGAAAGCATGAATTACTCACAATGAACTTGCAGCATCATTCGCTTGCTCACTGTTGGGCGAACACCGTTGCTGGCTATACACAAATAAGCTCCCATCTCGCTCCTTCCGACATTCGGGAAGCTCAGTATTTCGCCCTGGGCTGTTAGCACTGGAACAGGAATTTTGACGTTTTAAATTTGAAAATGAAATTTAGAGAGAGTTTTAAAAATAATATAACAATAATTACGCCGTTGTCCTGGCGTAGAAAATTGTTTTATCTGCTTGTAAATTACATACTATTAAGAAACATTTGAAAGTGCCGTGCTTAATTATTTCTAGCTAACCATGAGTCTGACTTTAAAGAATTTAATTGAAAAACTTTTTTATGAAATGTTCCCATTGAAATTTCAAATAAATTACTTATATTAAATTTTTATATTAAAATTTGTGATTTTTGAAAATGGCACGGATTTTATTTTCTTTAAAAGCTATGAGCAAGCATAGTTATTGAAAATTTATTCGATTTTCCATTTTAAATATTTCAAATGCAATGCACATTTTCATGCATTAACTATAAATTATACGTTTAGAATATATCTATTTTTTTTTCATTTGATTGTTATGTGTATGTAATAAGTAAATAAAGATTCAATTGTCTTTCATAATATATTTCTGTGAATTAGAAGATATTATTAATCGTCGGTTTAAATTAATTTATTTCAAAACAGCAATTGTTATATAATTGTTTATCGCTTTAAAATAATTTTAATAAACTTTTTTAATCGGTAGACTTGGGTAATATTATGACAATAATAATAATAAATCTTGGAGTAACGTTCTCTTCTGCTTATAAATTAAGTTGAATCCAGGCAGTTTTGTGCAATCAGATATTACCTTTGAGATATTTTAAGATCTCAGTAACATATAAATAGAATACGGTAATATTGTTTTAAAAGTTCTTTGATTCTATATAATAAAAAAAAAAAAGCTTTTAAATAATATACAAATGCAAAAAAATTGTCGAACTTCGGAGAATAATAAATAATTGATTACATACAATAATATTGAACAAATTAATTTTTATTACTAACGATATTAGTAATAAAGATGTTATAATTATAGAAGATAAAAACAATAAAGGTAACATATGGCTAATAATAGATAGTAAAAATATTTTTACATATTTATTTTGATTCTTTATTTTTATTCTAAATTCGTTAAATATTATAATCTAAATGATTCATTAAGTAAAAATATACGAAATTAAAATTGAAATATATAACACTTATATCGCAGTACTTCGATTATATATTTTTATTATTTCAAATAAGATGAATTTAACATAATTATTTGATTCGTTTAATTTATTATTGTCGAATAATATAGAAATGAAATAATATAACTTAATTTGTCTGAACAAAAAAAAATTTTTTTTAATATAAAGCTTAAGTATTACCATTTGGATTACATAAAGTATTTTTAATATTAGTTGAGTATTGTACAAACAATATCGATATTACAATCTAAAGGTTTTCACACATTGTTGAAAAATTTTTAACTTTTTCCATTGAAATTCAAGTTTTACCGTTCCATTGAATAAAGAAATACTAGAATAATAATTATATAATAAATAACGACTGAATATTAATGTTAAAATATCGTTATCGATATCATTATTAATACAAGTAATAAATGTAATGAATATAATTTTCATAAATTAGTCAATTTATTATATAAATTCTAATTAATTTGCCGTCAACAATGATGAAAGGAATCGGAATAAGTTTATGTAAATTTTACTCTTATTGAATTTTAATAGTAATGTTGCCACATACATGTGTTCCTTATTGGAGAGTAATTGGACATTTTTCATTTTTTCCCTTTAAACGTATTTCTCTAATGCACAATTGATTATGCATAGATTTTAAATGCATCTACACACTTGCAGGTATTAAAAAATTTGTCAAAATACCCGATAATGTCATTAAAACCAAGAAATCGTTTTAAATTGATTAATTTCGTATGTATGCAATTGAAAAGAAATAGCGAAACAAAAACACATTGGTGTACGTATAAAAAAACGAAGAAGTTAAAAAAAGTGAATAAACGAGATGCAAATGCAAATCAATTGGCGTACATCTTTGGAAGCCGCCGTGTATGTGTAAAACAATGGCTTAGTCGCTAAACGGGTTTACAGACAGAGACAGAGAGAGAGAGAGAGAGAGAGAGAGAGAGAGAGAGAGGGAGAAGACGTTTATCAGTGTCGTCATTTATTGACGTTCACTTTTATTTCCAACTTCGGTTTATCTAACTCCAAACTTTGCACGCTGCATTTTGCCCTTCGCCTTTTCTCCTTCATTATTCTATCACTTTTTTCATTCTTACATATCTTACTGACTGCTTAACGCACATAATTAAGCACATAATTGTTATAATAAAAATCAAAATCATCATATCGTATAAAGCTGTTTAAAACAAATTCTTGTCATTTCAGGAGAAAGTAGTTGGAAGTAAAAAATTACATATGATTTATATTTTTAATAGTGATCACACTGCCAAGGCTTTATTGCAAACAATGATTAATAGTTTAAAATATAGTACTGTTAATTTATTTACGTATTCGGAACGCAGTTTCATTTTGAATACTTTAACTTCATTGTTATTTCAATGTTAGATTTTGTTAAAAAAAAAAAAAAAAACAGATCTACTATATACCCATTATAGAAATAAAAATTCGAATTTCGAAAATAAACATATTTTAAATAATCAAAGAAAGCGTGTAATTTAAATAGCTCAGAACATATTACTATGAATTATTTTTATTCTATTAAATTTTCTATTTTCATAAAATTAATAAAAATTTTATCAATTCTATTGTATAACATATTTGGAATATTACACGTATTCATGCTTTTACGTCAACCTATAATTTATTGACGTTTTGTTAAACAAAGCTGTGGGTTCATATTATATTTTGTTTTATGTTAATAAATTGAAATTATTGGTTTAAATTTGTCATAATTTATTAAAATTATATATATTATTTATAACAAAATTCACATTCATATGCATAAATATTTTCATAAGTTTTAAAAATCGTTATAGAGATGATAATTAACGACAATGTATGTCAAAGACAAATTTTAAGTAAATTTCAACTAAGCAATTATTAACAGAAACAAATATTTCATTGCATAATAAGCTATGATATATAACTTTTTACTTAATTACATTCAAAAATAGTTGATTGTAATTTTTTACTTTAGAATACGTATTTACATGGGTAATATTTATGAATAATATCTATTATACGTATATATTGTATATTACTATACATTAAATTAGTTATGAAATTGAAATTAAATTAAATTATTAGTATCAAATTTAGCTATATTTACGTTAAATAATAGGATAAAAATTGAAAACAATAATTTAATCTTAAATGTATGACTATAGAATATAAATATATATTTTTATCCTTGAAACGCAAACTGTCGCAATAACAATTATAAATTCTTATTTCAAATATGAGAAAAAAGTATAAAAGAGTAAAGCTCAATAACAAGAGCTAAGAGAGAGAGAGAGAGATATCATACCTTTAGTTTTACTACCGGAATGCGTCCTTGTGATGATGTCACTACCATCTTCACGCTTCCAAACGATTTCAGGTTTAGGATATCCGCGTGCTTTGCAAACAAGTTTCGCGGAGCCGCCTTCTGGTACCATTATATCACCAGAAGTCTCTTCGTAAATAATATCCGGTGGTATGACAACTTCTAAATGTGCGCTCTAAGCACAGAAAAGCAATTGAATCTGTGTTATCATTTGTACAGGAAAGTAATTGTATATTTCTACGTTTGCAAAGCTCAAAGTTTTCTGGGAGTGAAGAAATTAATATCCGCTTTTCGACGATGCGATGCAAATGAAAGTAATAATTATTTATTATTTTAATTATCTTTATCTTGTCTTCAAATATACAAGGATTTAATCATAATTAAAATTGTAAAAATATTTAGAAACAAATGAACTAACATAAATGAACTAAAATAAATTTCTGCGTAATATGCCGATTAATGGTCATGATTTAACGTTGACGTTAGTTTGTTAGATTATTAAATGATTATAAAAATTCCAGAAAATTAAGAAGTAAATGGTGCATTAATCAATTATATTATATTAAATTTATAAAATGTAAATATATATAAATTAATATTCTATAGATCTGTCTTCGATAAGTCATATCTCAATTGCAATTTTAGTTAAAATTTTATTTCAATTATTCTACCACATATTAAATTATATACGCGCGCGCGCGCGCGTGTGTGTGTGTGTGTGTGTGTGTGTGTGTGTGTGTGTGTGAAATATAAATGTAGTTAAAGAATATAAATGAATTGGTTGAAGATTGGTTTACAAAATCAAAAGTTTCATGAGCAGTTCCTCTTCAACTTAGCTTAGATGTATTAAAGCGGGAGAATAATGTTATGAAAAATAAAAGATCCAGGATCAACGCTACACCAATGAATAAACATATACGAAGCAGAAACGTTAAGGAAAATAGGCTCCGAAATTTAGAGTCTAGCATTCATGGAAAAGAGCTTACCTGGCTCTTCATGGGATTAGTGTTGACCTGACACATATAGGTTCCTCGATCTTCGGGATGGGCATCCTTGATACTCAAAGTCCATGTATTGGCGTCATTATGCGTGACGGAGAGCCTTGCATTGTTGGTGATGACGTGTTCGTGGATGGCCAGGACCGCTCTTGTATTCGCCTTGATCCAAGCTACCTGCACCCGTTCCGCAACAATACAATCAAACAGACTTTAGCATTTACATTCGATACGTAATAATGGAATGTCTAATTATCAATCTCTTTTTCCTTTCTTTTTTCCCGCTTTTTCAACAAAAAAACAAAAACAAAAAAAAAACAAAAAAAAATTAATTCAAACGAAAAAGGAAAAGAAAAAAAAAAAAAAAAGAACAATTCGTTTGATTTGTTAAGAAAAATGAAGTATTATTGTCTTGCGATAGAACTCAAGGGAGGATTTAAGTAATAATGTATTTTGATCATTCACAGGAAAATTTGTAACTTTTGGATCGATTTAAAATTATTAACCTAAACAAGCCAGTGTTGTCTTTATAAAGTTTTTAGGCTCTATTCGCTATCTATGAGCACGGCATTATATTCATTTAGTACGTAAGCTTAAGGAAGAATTACTTTGTCTGATAAAAGTTTGCACGTAAAAAGGATATTTATGAGAAAAAATGCATTTGCTTGATTGGAAAAAAAAAAAAATAGAGACGAAAGAAAGAACTTATAAAACCTATGCCGTCACTTAAAGTGTAAAATAGTATTAACTTACAAAAATTGATTCTTAAATAATATGGAAAGTTTCGGAAAAATCAATCAAAGTTCACTCAACGAGTGTCTTACTGAATTCGTTCCACAATTACTTCTATATATTTGCAATGGCCAAAACTTTTATTCGTCTTTTGTTGAACTTAGACTTCAAGTTAGAAGGGTCACATTTTTAAATTAAAAGTGTTCTTATGCTATAACGGTTGCGAGCTCGCTAGCTCTTTTGCCGTATGTTTTAAAGGTACTACTACTACTACTACGATAACTATTTTTCTTTCATTCTTCACGATGTTAAAAACATATGAGATCATTATAATACATCTTATGAAAACTTGTTAAATATTGTTTTTAGATAAAATACGTTGAGGACTTAACTACAAGGCTTTCCATAATTTTATTGGCGTATGCAAACTTTCTATGCTCTATACGCTAATATGTTGATAAAAAATAAAAAAAGAATGAAAAATTGTAAATTTATCCAACAACTCATCTCTAATTTCTATGTATTAAACTTAATAATTCGTCAATGTCTGTCCATGGCACCTTGAGTCATACTACCAGTCATGTACGTTCTGTGATTGTCAATTAAAAATCATTGCAATTATCCTCCATTGATGCCATCGCAAAAGCCTAAAATAATAAACGGAGAACAAAATAAAAGTCCACTCAATGAAACATAAAACAAACAAAAAAAAAAAAAAAAACAAAAAAAAGAAGCAACAGAAAAAGAATCGTAAAAATCATATACATTCGTGTGTTGAATAACAATGGAATAAATAAAGGAACTTTACAAACGGAAAAATATCACTAAGAACAAACCTGCGCTCATCTCGCGTGCTATAATTTATTAATTTATTAGTGTCGTCGGCCGTTAGCAGCTAGTATCAACTACATGGGCATAAACATATCAACGCTCTCGACTGCCACGTTTGCCGATATCCATCCGAAGATAAATAAAAAAAAAAAAAAAAAAAAAAAAAAAAAAAAAAAAAAAAGGACGATGTACAACAAGGAATGAAAGATTCTACGCAAATATGCAGCATCAATCTCGTTATCTCTCGGAAGCGTTTATTTACCAATTGTCGCGCGTCGTTTGCAATTCGGAAGGGGCGCGATGTGGCAAAAAAACGTTGACGGATCAACACGAGCCGATGTAAAGTGCCGCTTAGCCTGGCTCTTGTAAATTTACGGTAATGCAAAGCGTCGCTCGTCGGTTCTTTGTAGCACGGGACAGTGGGAGGCTGACGTGCGATAGCTGATCAGAGAAGGGAGAGGCCAGAAAAGTAGAATTCCCTTTTCACTTCGCCTCTTCGAATTCCCAATAAAAATACCAAATTTCATATCATTCGGAATGCCCCGCTCGTTTGTGTCCACATTGTAACTGAGAAAGTCGAGTTTATGCTGATAATCGTCGATAGAGCTCTTAATTACAAATTGTATTGTTGTTGTTGTTTGTTAAGATAGACCAGAGCAAACGTCACGTTCCAATAATAAAACTCCTCGCCCAATATTTAATATTATTATAATAATAAATTTAACGCTTTATTGCGCATACTTGATAAATATCAGTATTTCCGAATACACTTTCTATACGGAAATTTTTAGAAGCAAATTAGATAATACAATATTATGAAAATATTTTGTTGAAACCAAGTGGGACAAGCGGAGAATTTTATTAGACTAATGTTGAAACTTCCAGTATTACTTGCGTATATTAAAATTAAAAAGTCCATAATTATCTAATAGTTTTGTTTAGTGACATTTTAGTATGAAGATTAGAGTGTCAAATTGAATTTATTATCTTAGCTACTTGAAAAACTAAAAAAATTATGAAAATACGTAAAAGAAGTTTTCTATCCACAGGATAGTCCAAATATCTGACAGTAATTAATATTACACAATGAATATCCTGTTGCTTATTAAAATCTTTATAACTAATTTCCATACAAAATTCTATTTTCCACTCCCCCCCCCCTCTTATATTAATTTTTCAAATCTCTTTGGTTTACTCTATATTTACTACAAATAATTTTAAACATTAATATTTTTTCTATTTAAATAGAAATTTTACTCCTCGTTTACTATTCATCCCAATATATTCTAGAATTTTCAATGAAAATCTTATTAATAAATTATAATATCATTTCACATTTAATTAAAATTTATGAATTTAATTATACCTTATTATTGTCAATCAGAATATTAAAATATTAATTAATAGCAAACTAATTTCAACGAATATTACTAAATATTAATTTGTTTTATACTCATTTCACGTTTTATCCTCAAAAGTCATTCTTAACGATAGAAGATAATAATAATTCAAAATAATTCTTCGTTTTAGAATTGCATTTCATCATAAAATATAATATAAGAGAATAAACAATATGAGATGAGATATCCCATTTTGATTGACACAACTGCCGTTAGAAAATAAGTAATGAAATTGAAGAAAGGCGCATAGAAAAGCTTAAAAGTCAAATAAAATTATACCTTACATGCTTGTTTCAAATAATTTCAAATTCCTTTACTCTATTAGAATCTACGTCCCGTAATGCTCGTAAGAATTCAAATTATTTTTACAACTTTAGTCAATTTTATGCACACGAGGCTTATAAATAATTTCGAAATTGTTCACTTTAATTTCCTTTCTTTTATATTAATAGAACCGCTTTTAATTCACAACTTTCAAGCAATAATATGCAATAACTTTTTTTCAACTAAGACTTGGTTTTAATCGCAAAAGTAAGTTATGAAGAGCGCAACAGTCTCTTCAGATACTTCCTTCATTGAAATAGGATGCAGTTTTTATTTATAATGAAAAACGAGCGAATAAGTGAGTATTTCATAAATTCATTTGCTAAGAAAAGTATATAATTGAACGAAATTATATTATCTTCGAAATCTACTTTAACGATTTCAAAGAGTCTATAATGGTTTTATGAGTAGCAGCCAATTTTTATTTATATAAGTCTTAAATGCGATTAAGCATGAAACTCAAAGTAAATATTATAATTTCTCGAATGATTATCAATCATGCCAAATGTGCATGATTTTTTTTTTATAAATTTATCGTTAATTTTTAAAATGTAAAATAAAAAGTATATATAAATAATAATAATGGATTTGACTTTAATAAAGAAGACAGCGTTTATTGTACAAAAATTTTCAACTTAAATTTTTATGAAATTGAACATTTTCATTTAAAAATTTTATAGTCATTTTGCAAAAAGATTTATTATCTTCTAATAATTTAATATATGACACTCTGTAATAATAAACTATTTATGAAATAATATACTGTAATTATATCATAAATCAATGGCGACGAAAAATACTTTATATATATATATATATATATATATATGTTAGTCAAAAAAATAAATAAAATTTTAAAATATTAAATACATCGTTGTTGCAATGATTCTGATTTCAAAATATTCTCTCAGCATTTTAAAATTACCGAGAACTTTAAAATTTCAAATACTACTTTTCTTATATATTTTTTGAAAATGAAAAAAAAATGAAACAAAAGTACATTTTTATATGATTCTAATCATATAAGATAAAATGCGAGGATCACTAAGAAGACAATAAAGATCCTGCGAGATTTTGATTACTTCGGCTATAAACATTTTCCTAAACTATCCAATGTTCACGTGTTACAGAAGCTTAGATGTAAGACCAGTCAATCACTGAGATGTTTGTCCTGCTTTTTCGCTTTGTCGCTTTTTCGTTTTTTCGCTTTTTCGCTTTTCTTCGAGTGCGAAAATATCGATACGCGACAAAGCTAAGCTTTTGTTGCTGATAGATAGCGATCAAATGGAGAGGAAAGGGTCTGTCTTTATTTCTTATCGCGATGAAACGATATAAATTCTTTTATATACACTTGCAAGAATGACTGGGACAATAACAGTGATGACGATGAATGACTAACCGTGCATTTTTATATTATTATTAGTGACCAGATTTTTATTTATTGATTGCGTGCTTTTTTCACTCTAAGAATGTGTTTTTGAAAATTGATTGAGTAAGTTATTCACATATATAATGCGTAATACAAAGTAAACAAATGCTTTTAAGTTCAAGTTGTATTAAATTATTATCTCAATGCCTAGTCTCCATTATATTTAAATAAATATATTTCGTAATTAGTAATACATAGAATTTATAGAAAATAATATTTATCGAATGATTGGAAACGATAAATGATTTATCGTCAATTTTATTTACTCGTATTGCAGCTTGAATATTCATATACTCGGTAATATATCAATTTAGCATGTTTATTAAATTATCATTGTCCTAAAGTTATTTTTATAATAATTTTCGTTTTTGTAACATCAGCCACAAAGACATAAAGGTAATGGTAAAAAAAAATCTTTTTTTTTTTCTTAACTTATAACCTAAATACACCAAGTCTTTTAA